TCTCGAAAAAATATGCATTCCTTGATTCTATTATCATGTTCTCGTGTACGTCCAGATTATGGGACCTGTGTACTAAGAATCGATACGCACTACTATTATGTGCATAGCCAATAAAGATACAGTCCACCGTCTTATGACCTATTTTTACTTTCTTAGGTGTTGGCACCAATACTTTGGCAAGACACCCCCACACTTTCAGGTACTAGAAGGAAGGTTTCCTACCGTTCCACAGCTCATAAGGAGTCTTATCGAGCTTCTTGTGAGGTACCTTATTCAAAAGGTAATTACTTGTCAAAATCGCTTCACCCCACGCATCTTGAGGTAGGCCCGAACTTATAAGCATCGCATTCATCATATCTTTCAATGTACGATTCTTTCGTTCGGCAACACCATTCGATTGAGGTGAGTAAGGTGCCGTACGTTCGTGTATTATACCTACACTTGCACAGAAGTCACCAATCGGTGCTTCGTACTCACCACCTCGATCGCTTCTAACCTTCTTAATTCTCCGATTAAGTTGGTTTTCCACTTCATTCTTATAAAGAACGAATTTATCAACGGCTTCATCTTTGCTCTTAAGCAAATACACATAGCAGTATCGTGTGCTATTGTCGATAAATGTGATAAAATACTTATTACCACCTCTCGTTTGTATCGATCTAAAATCGCACAAATCACTATGGATTAATTCTAGTGGTTCAGTTTCCCTTTCAACCGATTTGAAAGGTACTTTCGTTAGTTTTGCCTCAATACAAATTTCACACTTATTATTTGTGTCAATTTGAAAGTTATGAATATGGTCCATGCTAATTAATCTACGCATAGAATTAAAATTAGCATGACCTAGTCTACCATGCCATAAATTGGAAGACTCAAGCAAGTAAACAGAATTTATTTTGCTTTTATTGATAACATGAATTACACCGAGTTTAAACAGCCCATCAGTTACATATCCTTTACCAACAAACATCCCTAACTTGGACAAAACTACTTTGTCTGACTCGAACACCATGCGAAAGCTATGCTTGTTCAACAGAGAGCCAGACACAAGATTCTTCCTCAGCTCAGGAACATACAGCATGTTGTTTAACGTCAGTTCCTTCCCGAAAGTCATCTTCAGAACCACCTTGCCCATGCCTTCCACAGCAGACTGAGCAGAGTTTCCCATCCACACCTTTTCACCCTCAACGGTCTCAAAGGTGTTGAACATCTCTCGGTTGCAACACAAGTGTCTGGTTGCACCGGCATCAATGAACCACTCACGAGGTTCACCTCGGTCACCATAGCCGAAAGGCTAATCTCGGCCTCTTTCTGACTGTTATCTCCAACAACATTGGCTTCAGAACTCTTGTTCTTCTTCTTTGGAGCCTTGCATTCAGATGCTCTGTGGCCATGCTTGCCACAATTGTAGCATTCACCAAGAAACTTGTTCTTGGTAACGCCACCTTTCGGACCTAGCTTTCGCTTGTCCTTCTTGTTCCTCTTGGAGCTCTTACCGTGCTCCACAACGTTGGCCTTAGCGCCAACAACGATAGGAACTTTCCTATCATTCGCCCTGTTCCCTTCCTAAATCCTGAGTCACTGGATCAGGTCCTCCAGATTCATTTCCTTTCGCTTATGCTTAAGGTAGTTCTTGAAGTCCTTCCGACCTGGAGGTAACAAGTGGATCACAGATCCCACTTGGAAGGCTTCACTTAGCACCACGCCCTCGTCACGGATCTCATCGAAGATTAATTGAAGTCGAGGAATCAGCCAACCACAAATTTCTTTGAGTTGGCATCCTCACTTCGGTATTTATGATCCAAAGCTTCCCACAACGCTTTTGATGTGCTTATCTTTCAATATACATCGTATAGCGTGTCACACAATCCATTCAGGATGTAGTTTCGGCAAAGGAAGTCCGAATCCTTCCAATAGCCAACTGCCATCACGGATTGTGCATCTTGTTCCTTCAACTCGGGAACCTTCTCGGACAAGAACCTCGCCAAACCGAGAGTTGCTAGGTAGAACAACATTTTCTGTTGCCACCTCTTGAAGTTCGAACCAACACCGGTGAACTTCTCCGGCTTTTCAGCCGAACCACTTGGAACCGAAGGTACCCGAGACATGGGAATATATCCCTCAGTGTTCCCACCATCTTGTGAACCAACGTTCACTGGTGTAGCTTGGGAATTAGCAACATTGTTGCCATTTCCTCCACTGTTGTTCTCAACAACATTTTCTTCCCCATTGTTAACGATTGGCAACTCGAGTTCTCCATTTCTACAAGGAAATTCGAGAAAAGACCACCAACGGGAAAACAATGAATAAGGTTTTAAGACTGTAGGAATCGTTGGTAGGAAAAAAAAATAATAATCAAATAAAATTGACTATTATTTTCTGGAAAGAAGGGAAGAAAAGAGGAAGAAATTTGGCTTGTGTTTGGTGTTGGGTTTTTGCAAGAGTCAAGTGAGCACTCTTTCCTTAAAACCTTATTTGCCACCTCCCAAAGATACTAGGAGCGTTGTGGCCTAGGCTTCCCAGATAAAACTTGCTAGTGATTCAATGTTTGAGCACTCAAACAAGGAATCAGGCGAGCAAGACACGGTTATGAACACAGTAGGCTAAAGAAGGAGTAGAAGCAGAGAGGTTTTGAGGCTAAAAGAAGAACTTTCGTGTTCTATATTTTCTGTGTGTAAATCTCTACTGCCCAGCTCCTCTTTATATAGGGTTGAAGGATTAAATAGCTCTTAATAGGACACTTTTAGCCGAAACATGGTGCCCACATGGCCGAAACTACCATGTTTCGGCCATTATGGCCACAAGGTCGAACTTGTGGCATGTTGGAAAATGATACCGAAGTTTGACATAACTTAGCCCACAAGGCCAGCCAATTTCCGGACGACATTCGTGCGCCCAGGTGCTGGCGCGCACGAGCTCGGGCTTGAATCAAGCCTTTTTCAATCTCGTCTAGTTGGAATTTGATTTGCACCCCCCCCCCCCCCCCGCGCGCGAGAGAGCCTCTATGCTATACAATTCTACAAGCTTCAAAAGAGCTCTTGTATATAAGGGGGGCAAATCCTCTTTCGAAACCAATGTGTGACAAAAGCTCACTTTTTCCCTTCATTTTCCAACTCAAATGTGTCTACTTTGAGAATCAATATCTCATTCACCCCCTAGCCCTGGGTCGAGCCCTAAGCCTTGGGTCAGGCCTTGAGCCCCGGGCTGAGCCCCACCCCCTAGCCCGGGGTCGAACCCCCGAGTCTTGGGCGAAGCCACCCCCCACCCCGAACCCTGGGTCGAAGCCACCCCGAGCCCTGGGTCGAAACCCCCCCAAGCCCTGGGTCGAAGCCTGAGCCTTGAGCCTCCGCCCTGAGCCATGAGCCTCCCCGGTACCTTGGGTTGTATCATACCTTGTACCATGAGCCTCCCCAGCACCTCGGGTCTCCTTGTACCATGAGCCTCCCCAGTACCTCGGGTCTGTACCATGAGCCTCCCCATTACCTCGGGTCTGTACCACAAGCCAAACCCCAAGCCTTGAGCCTACCCCAATCGAAAGCCATGAGCCTGCCCTGAGCCCTGTGCCCTGTGCCATGAGCCTGCCCTGAGCCCTGTGCCCTGTGCCATGAGCCTGCCCTGAGCCTTGTGCCCTGTGCCATGAGCCTGCCTTGAGCCCTGAGCCTTTGACCCTGCTGAGCCTTGAACCCTTGAACATGGATCATAATAAGAAACCGGTCCTGGGTCCTTGAAAGTCCGAAATAAATGAAAAAAAAAACAAAAACAACAAAAAAAAAATTAAAAACAAAAAAAAACAAAAAAAAAAAAGAAAAAACAAAAAAAAATATATATAAAAAAAATATCTCATTCACCCATTATCCGTTTTGAGCGTACAATATATCGATCTCTTCGTCTCACTACGAAGAATCCGAATCCACTTTGACCCGACCCAAATCGAAAGTGGACCCCGCTGATAATTGTACCACAAAATAGCCACTTAACATGCCATTTTAAGCTATTTTTTCCCAACATAATACACCAAACAAGCGGACTCCGTTAACTATAACGGCGGGCCGTTTCTTTACTTAAAGAAACGACGCCGTTTTTGACCGCGGTGCATGTGCACTGCGGTCTATGATATAACGATTGATAATTTGTCCTGTAGGGCGAGGTAGGCCCACTACATAGCGAGAGTCTAGAGTACGATAGCATGCCCTTTCACCTTCCGGGGTGTTTGGTTGGGAGGAATGAATTAGGAATGAAATGAATTACAATTCGGTGGGAAAGAATAAGATAGGAATAATGTAGGAATTCAAATTACATTGTCTGGTAGGACGAATTGAATTATTGGGGATGATAAGAAAAAAAGTGATATAAAGACTAAAATGTCATCGTGTAATAAGAAAAATAACAATCATCAAGGGTATTTTTGACATTTCATCCATTTTTTCCTTTCCCAAAAGCATTGAATTGCAATTCATGGGGGTTATTATACACACTATATAATAACTACAGTTTAATTTGATAATATACACTCAATATGTGAGACTTGTTATTCAGTTTTGTTTTTTTTTTTTAATATATATACTGTAGTTTCATTTCAGCACAACTAAATATAATTTCAATTCAATTACAGTTTTATTTGACAATATACACTCAAAATGTGAGACATGTTATTCTGTTTTATTTTATACATACTGAGTTTCATTTCAACACAACAAAAGTATCATTTCAATTCAATTACAGTTTCATTTGATAATATGAATATAATATGTGAGACAAGTTATTAAATTTCATTATAAATACACTCTAATTTCATTTTGTTCTGAGCATACCAAAAATACGAGATTTGTTATGTATAACGACTACTGTTTCTTTATTTAAATAAACAACACTGTTTTCGAAACATGGTCCACATAGCTCCACCGTATAACAATTCTCTACACTCATCATATGTTGTTTACTCTCCTTGTGTTTTGTCTTTCATTTGCTTAGCTTTAATTTCTTGTTAATTGGCTCTGCAGATATTGATGAGTGTGAGGTTCGACAGAAGAACAATTGCTCCAAAAATTCTATTTGCACAAATACTGAAGGTGGTTATGAGTGCTCTTGTGAGAAGGGTTACGAAGGTAATCCATATCTCCACCCAGGTTGCCTAGGTACGTATATAAGCTTTACACTTTTATATGTACAATGTCTTTCTTCTTTGCCCTACCGGTCCCTTTAATTTACCTTTCTTGTTCATTGGCTCTACAGATATTGATGAATGCGAAAATGGACAAAACAATTGTTCTGAAAACTTCACTTGTAAGAATAAACCAGGCGGTTTTTCGTGTCATTGCAAGGATGGTTACGACAATGATGGGAAAGGTGGCTGCAAATTACCCAGTATACATGCAAACAATGTGCACATGATTGCTTTGGGTAAGCATCTTTTGCCATTTAACAACACTTCAAGTGATAGATACTACCATCAATACTTGTTTAAGTAATTAAAAAATGTTTGATTGCAGCCGATTTTTGAATTTTTGTGACCCCATTCTTGTAAATAAATGAGGCACTACCAAAAGTATAAGTGCAATATTTAAAATCAAACCATAAAAATCCTACTAACCTACTCTCTCCAAGTCCAAACAGACAAAAAAATTTTGTTTTAAAAAGTAAAACTACTTGGCTAGTGATTACTTGCTAGGCTGCCGCTATCGTTTGGAATGCAAGTAGAACGATCTATTAGGGGAAATAAGCATCTTTTGCCATTTAACAACACTTCAAGTGGGAAATAAGCATCTTTTGCCATTTAACAACACTTCAAGTGATTGATACATACTACCATCAACACATGTTTAAGTAATTAAGAAATATTGATTGCAGGTGCGGCTTTAGGTGCTATAATGCTGTTGATGGCCATTTGTTTTTCTCTGTACTTGGCATATCGACAAAGGAAATCAGTACAGATGAGAGAGAAGTTCTTTAGAGACAATGGAGGAATGATTCTGCAACAAAGAATTGCCCAAGGTGGTGAATTCTTTGGCGAAACAAGAATTTTTACTGCCGAGGAGCTTGAAAAAGCCACCAACAACTACGACCAAACTACAATTATTGGTCAAGGTTTTGGGATTGTATATAGAGGACACCTTCTTGATGGAAGAATAGTAGCAATTAAAAAGGCAAAGATGATGGACCCAACTCAAGTTGAGCAGTTCATCAATGAGGTAATTGTGCTCTCCCAAATCAGTCACAGAAACATTGTCAAACTCTATGGGTGTTGTTTAGAGACAGAAATTCCGTTGTTGGTTTACGAGTTCATAAGCAACGGGACGTTGTCCGAACATCTACACAACAAAGACAAGGCATCGGCATTACCTTGGTCGACCCGTTTAAGAATAGCAACAGAAACAGCTAAGGTCCTCTCTTATTTGCATTCTGTAGCTTATCCTCCAATCATCCACAGAGATGTTAAATCTGTAAATATTCTCCTTGATGAAGACTTCACCGCCAGGGTATCAGATTTTGGTGCGTCGAGATTAGTCCCTCAAGATCAAACTCAATTGACAACAATGGTGCAAGGAACATTTGGTTATCTAGATCCCGAGTACTTGCAAACCAACCATTTAACAGAAAAGAGTAATGTCTATAGTTTTGGAGTTATCCTCGTAGAGTTGCTTACGAGTAGAAGGGCTCTATCTTCTAATGGTCACGAGGAAGAGAGACTTCTATCTCAATATTTCCTTTCATTGTTGAAAGAGAATCAGTTGTTCCGAATTCTTGATGACAACATTATATGTGAGGGCAACACTGAAGAGTTACAAGAGACTGCCTTGCTTGCGAAAAGATGTTTAAATGTGAAGGGAGAGGATAGGCCAACAATGAAGGAAGTTGCTACAGAACTAAGTGGATTGAGGAGAGCAGAAACACATCCATTGACCAATAATCTAGAGACTTCTGTGGAGCAATAATCCACAGACTTCTATGGAATCAAAGGCACTACTTACTGAATAACCAATCCCTCTAATTACTGTATTTCAAATTTATATTATGTTGGATCATAATTTGAATATAATTCCATATTTGCTTATAATTCCATATTTGCTTATAATTCCATATTTGCTTTTGAACTTCAACTTTTTCTTTTATTAAATTAAACTATGAGTGCAATAATGTTATTACAAGCTTCTTATACATCGACAACAATCAATTGCAACTAATTTTTATATTTTAAATATTTGGAATAAGGTCCAAATTGGCCCCTGAACGAAACGTGAAAGTCCAATTAGGTCCCTGAACGTTAAAAAAAAAGTGCAATTACCCCCCTCAACACCTCAAATATGTGCAATTTGACCTGATAGCAGGTTAACATCCTATCTAGCAAGTTGCATGTGTGACATGGAAGATGACTTGGCGTTTTTTTTTTTTTTTTGGAAAGATGACTTGGCATTTTTTTTTATTTCCTTTCATTTCCTTCTTTTGTCTTCTTCTTTACAAAACAACTAACTCTATCAGTTGTAATATTCCACCGTCGATATCTTCTCTCCAATTTACAAGCAGGATAAATTTCATGAAAAAATATTCAATTTTACACAATTATATTCAGTGAAAAAGATAGACCAAAAACAATAAATATTCATTTTATATAACTAATACAATGAAAAAGATGGACCAAAAGCAGTAAATATTCAATTTATATAAGAAATATAAGATGTTAATACTTTTAAAATGAAAGATGATCCCCTTCAAAGTGCACTTCCTATCATTACAATCTGCCAAAAAGTTGCTGTTGTACCTAGTTCTTTTGTATGAACATACACCTAAAATTTAATATCCAGGAAGCACAATATTTTACAATGTAATCACAAGTTTCCACAGTTGGATCAAAATATAATTACAAAAATAATAGGTCACAAGTTTTTCCACTACTGATTCCAAATATAGACCAAAACATTCTAAATTGTTCCACTACTTATTATTCTTGCCCAATGCAGTTGCATTCCTTCTAACAGATAGCACTTGTTGTCCTTCTTGTCCAGGCTACATAATGCATAAAACGTAAAACATTAGTCATACTAATTAAAACATCTAAAACTATATTAGTTTAACATTATGATTCACTTACATTTAATATTTGTGCTCCACTGTTTGGGTTGATGTACACACCAAAGCCACCATACCTTTTTCTATTTTTAGTTGTCCTAGAACCGGAACCTGAAGCTGAAGCAGAACCAGCAACTGAAGCAGAACCAGAAACTGATGCAGAACTAGCAACTGAAGCAAAACCAGAAGCAGGTATAGAACTCTTAGCAGGACAAACTTTCTTTTGGTATCCCTTTTGTTTACAAATGGAACATGTCATAATTCGACCTTGCCTTGAAATTTTTCCAACTGGAGGTTCATTAGGTTCACGGGTTCTTTTTTTCTTTGGCCTACCAGTCATTGGCCTTGGTAAAGGGGCTAATATTTCTTCACTATTAGTCCTAAGCCAGCTGATGTCACCATTAAGTGGTTGGATAGTGTGACTGTAAATGTTCTTGTAAACATTCTTTGAGTAACATTCATGAATATACTGTTCTGGATATTGGCCTTTATCAAATATGGCACACAATGCACGGGCACAAGGTATACCTGTTAGATCCCAAGATCTACATGAGCACGTTCTCCTTTCCAACTTCACTTTGAATTGTTGCCTTCCCTTCTTGATCTCATATCCATAATCACCATTGAAGTCAACATGCAAACTATGTTCACATCTAGCTTTTTCATTATTCTAGGTCCAAAGTTACCGGGCCATTTCTCTACCTCTTTCCTACATCTTGCAACCCTTGTCATGGTAGCAACCCTTATATCTTCTAACATCTTGACTATTGGTTTGCTTCTTGCCTTGACAATTGTTCCATTAAATGCTTCACACATGTTGTTATCTACAGAATCCCATTTAACTTCGGCTCTCATAAATGCCTTGCACCAGAACTTTGCAGGATAATTGGCCAAATCAACTTTAGCTTGTGCATCTTTCAAACCCAATTGTTCAACCATATCATTGAAATGCTCTTCAGTTGTTGCATTTGCACACATCCAAAAGTACCTCTTCAATACCTTGCCTCTGTGTTTCTTGCTCCAATTAACATGTATATGTCTAGCACAGTTTCTATGTTCAACATTGGGTAGAAGTTCATGGATCACATTGACTAAACCCTGCACAAACAAAAATAGACTAAGTCAAACACAAATTGCCTGTTTTTTTTTTAAAAAAAATTGTGTATTTAGAGTTACCATTTTCAAATTGTATTTAGAGTTGCACCTATGCTCAAGTATGCATGTTTTCAGCAGCAAACATCTATATCTTTCTTCCCAACTACAATGACAAACAAAAGGACACCCCTCAACACATTTCACCCTCACCCTCATACTCTCATTTTTGCATAAGTATATATCTCTTTTAAAGTGCACTGCATACTTTATCATGGCAGTCTTAAATTGTTTTGCATCCTCAAATAACATCCCTGGTTCTAGCTCTGGAAAATCACATAATGGATTATAAGATGGAATGTTAAATTTCCTTGATAGAGGTTTTGCATCTTTTGAACCTTCTTCTTCTTCTGACTCACATGTTGGTGGGTCTGCCGAGTCATAATAATAATTATCACTACATACCTCACTCTCATCTTTTTTCTTTTACTTTTTTCTGGGTTCATATTAGTGCCCTTAGCCCTGACAATCTTAACCTTGCCCTTATACTTAACCTCATTTCCCTTACTCTTACCCTTACACTTAACATTACCATCATCTTCTCATTCATACTGCAACTCCACATTAATCTGTGTTTCATCCTCTTGTGTAATCCCTCCAATATCTTTCTCAAAGTCATTATCTTGACTATCTACCTCATCTACATCATAAAAATCATAGTCTTCTTCATCACCTTCATTTCCATCACCCTCATTTGTTTTCTCATTTCCCTCATCATTCCTGACACGTACATCTACATCACCCTCATCATTCCCTCCACATCCAGGTAAAAAATAGGTTGGAATTAATTCAGCATCATTTAATCCATGATCCACATATATATCACATGATCTAAATTTCATTGCTAGTGCAGTTAGGTCTAGGGTACTTGCATCATTCCACAAAACTCTTAGTTGTTCCAATGGCTCATGGGCTGCTTTATAATACAATGTCTCAAGTTTTCCATATTGACCTTCTTGGATGAACTTCACTAAATGTGGGTATGAAAGTAAATCTGGGTCAATGTTTACAGACCAAACATCCCCATGTATGTACTGCAAATCTTTTTCTTTAACAAAATTTCCCCCATGGTGTATTATTAGTTCTACACTGGTACACATGACTGAAAAACATAACAATAAACACTTCAGTCTAGGCAATTCAATTAAATAGAACATTATCAATTCAGTTAAATAGATGTATAGAACACTATATACACTAGTACAATAGCACCGTATCAATTCTAACAAATAGGTCATCTATAACAAAGTAACATTATACATACCCCACTAAACCCAAAGCAAACTAAGACATACAGAAGCAAATGCATCATACATAGAAATTATAAAGGCCACAGAAAATCCAGCATTCATGATTCATGTCTAATGCACCTAATTAGTATATGTTTAAACAAATTTATTTTATTCCCTGCCCATCTATCTAAAGCTCAAACAACCCTTAATTAAAACATTCAAAATTCATTCCAATGCAGGAAATGTATTTCTTTTGGGCATTTCATCAAACAGCATGGGGGAACACTCAATGTTCCATTCAACAAATAAGCAATTTTATTCTTTTTCCTTAGGGTTTTGGGACCACATGGCTGACTCAATGTTCCATTAAACAATGAAGCAATTTTCTTCTTTTTTTCTTATTTAGGGACCACAAGTGAGAGTCAAAGTTCAATAAAGACATACGACAAGCATGGACCACCATGTATAAAAACAAAGCAGAGATGTCGTGGTTTCAGATTACACCCAACACCCAACAGAACACATACTATAAAATAGAATGAAATTAGTGGAAAACACATACCCTAAGAAATTGAAAGTGCGAACTGATGAAGCTATGAACTGATGCAGGTACAAACTGCTGAAACCAAGAAGCAACAACGAACAAGTTAATAGCTTTCACGTGGTTTAGGAATTTATGATGCAGGTACACTGTGAATGGAATTTCTGATGCAGGTTTTGGAATTTCTGATGCGTGGTTTGGGAATTTCTTATTCAAGCTTTGCGTTATACACGGTGGGGTGAATGGAAGAAAGAGTAAAGGAAGGAAAGGAAAATAGGAAATAAAAGGAAATAAAAAAATAAAAAGAATCCAAGTCAGCATACACATCAACATATAACCGGTTGGATGGAATGTTAACCTATTATCAGGTTAAATTGCACATATTTGATGTGTTGAAAGGGGTAATTGTACTTTTTTTTTACGTTCAGGGACCTAATTGCCATTTCACGTTTCGTTCAGGGGTCAATTTGGACCTTATTCCTTAAATTAATGAATACATTATATACACTTAAAATATACTCTCTTTGTATCATTTTATGTGCTATCCTTTATATAATAAAGCTATATGGTTTGAGAAATAATTAATGTTACAATTAATACCACAACATCCTTTATTATAAAAAAAAAAAAAAAAACAAAAAAAAAAACAAAAAAAAACACAACATTTAAAAAATAAAATAGCTATATATTATATAATCATATAAAAAATATACTTTTGAAAAATAAAATAGCTATATATTATATAATCATATAAAAAATGTGTTCAATTAGAGTTTAAATTTACACATACAAAATTTGAAATTTGCTTTCCAAATGTAATTATCTTAGTTATTATCGTATTGTGAAAATTATAATATAGATGAAATACAATTAAGAATAAATCAATGTAATTATGTAAATTATCTCTATAAGTTTATTTGAATATGCACATAATTAGAGATTATATTAACCATACAAAATTATAATTTTAATTTTAATTTTAATTGTAATTTTGTATTCTATAAA